TTATTGTAATTTAATCATATTCCCTAATGAGGGAGAGAGAATGCACCGTTTTAAGATATATTATCTTATATTCCGATTCTTTAGTAGTAGTTAATTATATTCTTCATTGGAACTGATAAAATAATTTCGATGATTAAAGGTAGTCTTATTCATGTATATATACGTTATTAATAATTAAAAGAGATTCTCACCGAATACTATACTTATAATAGTTGACTATTCGATATATATATATATATATACTCTTCATGAGTTCTTACTTCAGGATATATTTTCTTTTATTATTTCACCACTATTCAACCAAATGATATAATGCGATTAATAAATAAATTCTTAAAATATTTAACAGCCGACTAATCCTTAAAAATAAACAGCATCTCATATTTAGAAGAGCTTTTAAATTAAGAAATAAATTATAAATAAACATAAATTTTGTTATTGATTATTATGTAATGTAAATTGTAAAGAGCTTTCAAAGCTTTTTGGGACACCGTCCAGAATGGCCATTCAATATTTGTTTGTCATAAATATATAATTTGTAAATTCTTTTCAACGAAATGACTCTGTGGCCCAATGGATAAGGCGCTGGTCTACGAAACCAGAGATTCTGGGTTCGATCCCCAGCAGAGTCGGGTTTGTTGCAAAAGTTTTTTAGTAATCATGGGTTGCTTTTATTATTTTTGAAATTATGTTCCAGCCCCTTATTTTTAAAACATTCTCTTAGTTTTTTTTTTAATATTTTGAAATATACACTTTAAAAGTTTTGAAAATTCTCATTAAGACTCTCAAAATTATAACTTTTATTAGAACCCCAATTATTTTTACAATTCTTATTAAGTCCCTAACGGTGTTTGAAACTTTCATAAGACATTCAAAATAATGAAACTTTTAACTTAATCCTATAAATTATTTTTGAATCTTCTTAATTACCTCTTATAATTTTTAGAAATTCTCATTAAAACTCTCAGAGTTTTAAAAATTTTAGTTAGATCCTAATTTCTTGAAAATGTGTAAACTAATTTCTTCAAAAAAATTAAAAAATTCTAATTTAAACCTCTTAATTTTTTAATATTTTAAGTTGTCCCCTTAAAATCTATCACCAAGTTTTTCCACTGGTCTCATATTCAAATTTTTTAAGTTTGAATTTTTTTCCATCTTAAAATGTTCAAGTTCAAACCTTTAAGTTTGAGTTTTGTCAAGTTCAAATTATTTAAAGTTTGAACCAAATCATTTTTTAGATTTAAAGTTAAAATTTTAAATTTAGACATTTTACTACCACTGATTTCCGTGATCACTTCATACCTTAGGCTAAATTTAGTCAACGAGGTAATATATATATATATATATATTCATTTATGACAATATTATATAGCATATTTTGCTATTGCAATATATCTATATATGTATGTGTGTATATAGAAAATTAGTCTATGGGTGACACATAAAGTGTAAGATGCGAGAAGAAATCCTCTGCCCCATATTCTTTCTTTTACTCGCGTCTCATGTTTAATGTACATGATGTCATGTCGTTTATTGCATGGAATGAATAATATGTTCATATCGAATATATAAATTGTTAATCAATTTAAATTTATTAATAAAAAATCACTATAATCTTAATCAACATTAAAATTTAAGTTTGATCACAAACAATCCTCTTATCTTGTAATAAAAAAAATTGCCCCAAGTTAAGAGAACTTTCTTATTTAAAACCAAACGTGCTAGCTGAAAAAACCAAGTTCCCACGGCAATGGTGACCGTGAGGAGACATGATGATCAATACATGGAATCAATCTTGTTAGCTTAAAAAACCCATATTGTACAACACTACAAAAATAGCGCGAAATGGCTAACAAGATAAAATGGGTCCAAAATTTAGATGAGTACAAGCATCACAACAGACTATACAAAGAACTGTTTGAATCCAAAGACACATACCTCCTCTGCCAAAACCAAAGTGTTGTACATGGCCCCGACATTATATAACACGTTGAATACAGGACCAAGGATTTGTATGTCGATGTCTGATGTATGGATACAAAGACATGTCGACATATCTGTATCTAACACTCACAGTGCCTACTATGTCAAAGCATTTGTATGTACATTGATACATATAAGTTATGAAGCAGCGGTTATGGAAGGGCGCTGAGGTGGCTGAAGGTTGAAACCTGGAGAATGCATATGGATATGCTGAGTTTCCTGCTCCTCCTCCTCCTCCTCCTCTTCTTCTTCTTCTTCTTCGACATCCCACATATAAGATATTGCCATCTACTAGTTATCTCTAAATGTCGATGTCTGATGTATGGATACGAAGACGTGTGACATATCTGTATCTAACACTCACAGTGCCTACTATGTCAAAGCATTTGTATGTACATTGATACATATAAGTTATGAAGCAGTAGTTATGGAAGGGCGCTGAGGTGGCTGAAGGTTGAAACCTGGAGAATGCATATGGATATGCCTAGTTTCTTGCTCCTCTTCTTCTTCGTCTTCTTTTCTTCGACAACCCACAGAAATTTTGCGTATGACGCCAGGACAAAACTGCAGATACAATTTCAAGGTCAACATTGAGTTACAACAATGGAAGTACAGTTGAAGTGATTCAATTCAATCCATCAAGAGCTTTCAAACTACTACAAGAAAATTATTGGAGAATACAGACGTTAAACGCTTACTTAGATGCAAACAACATATCATAGCGTACGAAATGAAGTTTTTGATGAATGGGCGCTTCGTGTATTTTACCAGTCATCAGGGGAAGTCTTAACAGCTTGATCAATGTAACTTTCTGCTCTATGAGCATCCTTTTGGTCTTCCTAAATTAGATGGGCATAGAGAGACAAAATACTTGCATCATTTGGATTCGCTAAAATTGCTCTCCCGCAGTTCTCAGCTTTGGCAAAATCCCCTTTAATCTGCTTTAAAAGCAGACAAATACATAAATCAATGTAATGAAACAAAGATGTAAATTCAGAGGATGAAGTTGTTTACCCTTACCTCTTTCAAAAACTTGCCGTAATTGCCGAGCAGAAGCGGATTGCCAGGATTTGCTTCAATCATTTTCTGGTAGTAAACATGGGTGCTATCAGTATCACTCCCATGATTATCGCTCTCAAAAAACCATGAGCCGCCATCTCCACCGCTGCAGATTTTACCACCATCATTTCCTTGTCCACCATCCATCACATTACCATCTTCTCTACCTTCAACATCATCCACTGCTCTTCACCTAACCCAGAACTTGAAGAGAGTCTTTGGATGGAACAAGACATGGGTTCGGAATCTTCTTCTTGATCATCGCTTTCGTGCACTGTTTGGTCGTCAAGCCGGATAGAGTGAGGTGTTGGTATCAGGGGTTTGCCCTCCTTTTTTCTTGGTTTTGGGATATTGAGTTTTTTTATGTATATGGTCATCAATGGAAGGTGATGGGGTGTTAAAGGAGACTGATCTGGTTGAGCGGAGAATCGAAAAATCTGGGTCTAGTGATGAACAGTATTTCGAGAAAGGTAACCATGATGAGCTTCGTGTCAGCAACGTTTTTTCCTCTTTTGAATCACAAAATCCACAAGAGATCCTGCTGAAAGTAACAAAGTGGAGATTTTGCGCAGATGTTTTTATAGAATATTTCGGTAGCACTGATACTTGTTTCAGGGTATAACTGTTGAGAAAGCAACTCCCCACTGAGTAGTGAGTAAGTGTGATTTAAATAATAATAAACAGCGAAATCCTTTTAGAAAACGACAAACATTACTTATTTGCGATCTACTTAAGTATTAAAAACATAAAGTATTATATTTTTTTCATATCTTATTTATTTTAATAAATATTAATGAAAATTTAATAAATATTATCAAAATAAAAACATTTGATATTCAATGTGATTTTACAAAAAAAGGTAAAATACACAAATGATCCTTGATTATAAGATATTATTTTGTTAAGTTCAATAACTATTAAAAATTATAAAATAACCATCTAACTATTCATTATGTTTCAAACTAGTCCTTTTCTGTTAAAAAATTAATAACAATCTAAATTGGACTTTAACTTGTCGATTGAGATATGATAAAATCCGATCTCATAATCTTAAACGACTATCATATCTCAATCAGTATGTTAACACCCATCTCATATGTTCATTAAATTTTTAACAGAAAAGGTTAAATTTGGAACATAAAGAACAATTAAGTGATCAATTTATAACTTTTAAATAATCGAATGACTCAACAAAATAATTCTTTATAATCAAAGGATCATTTTATAACTTTTAACAATCAAGGAATTCAATAAAACAATATCATATAGCCGGGACACTATTTGTGTACTTTACCCAAAAATAATTGACAAAATAAAAAATATAAAAATAAGTGAAGTATTAAATATATTTTTATATCTTTGGTTACATTCATTCTTTTATTGTTCCTTAATCTTAAATTAGACTCCAATTAATTAATGTAGTTATTTCAAGTGGTAAGCAATTTAATATTACTTAAGCGAAGTTTCAAATCCTTGTGTAGGCAAAAAAATCCCGCTAAAAGACTCACCCGCTAAAACCAAGTATACCACCCAACGCTGTAAATTATTTATAACTTTTTAAATGTAAATAGACAAGCAATGGGACTTGTATCATTAGATATTAGTGATATCCACTTTCAACTTTCATTCTCCTGTTGGTTTCAACATGTTATAAAATCATTAAATAGCAGCAGCATCTGAATACTAGAATATCACATTAATGCCATCTGAAAGAGGGCAGTGTATTACAATGTTTATGCACAAAGAGAGAATGAAAAGTAACACAATACGATGAGAGAACTTTTTCTACATACAAAAGTTAAGAAACTGTGCTTGTCTACGATAACAATGAACCCATGCAAACAGAAGCCAGCTATATTTACCCTCTTCTCAGCTACATTAAATTCCACCGCTTGACATCTCAACTTTATCATCTCCTTAGAAGGTTGGGATTGATTCACTAAAGATGTTACACGAAAATGTTTCCTCAACAAAACTAAACCAATTGAACATGCACGAAAACAATTGCATGTCCATTATCCATATTTGAATTTTCTTCATGTATTTCTAATTTATATATGTATGTACGTATGTATGTATGTATCAAAATCTTACTAGGTTATCTTATAAATCGAGACCCTTTGTCGGGTCTACTAGAATTCCCCCCATCCGATGCAGGGGACCAGAAGAACAGAGACATCCAGAAAAGGACAGCAAAGAAAATCCACACTTGATCTTGAAATACAAATAACTTTCCCACAAACCCTGTTCCATGAAAAAAGATCATAGGACACCATAATGAACAGGCCACCTTCAAAGCAATGTAAAATGTAATAACAGCATTGGAGCTTTGATTTTTTTATACTATTTCATTATTTCAGTTTTATTTATCAAGTATCAGATAATACGATGGACAACTAAGGTTATTAGTTATCTTTAGGATTTAAATCTAAGGCCACAAATAAAACTTCATTTGCAATAAAGCCTTCTATTTTAATATTAAATACTAAACTCCAAATCTTAAAATAAACAGACTTATATAAATTAAAGTTTACACAGCTGTATATCAAATAATTTTGTTATTATTAGTCCCATTATTTTATTTGAATTAACAATGAAAGCAGAGGCTCTCTATTAACCCCGATGTTTTCTAGAATTCCAACTTCTTTCAAACTCGTTTATCAGCCGTATTCACTTTGATTGCTGCTGTTTTATTTCTAAACAACATCAAATAAGTAACAAAGAAGACCCAAATCCAAGAAACTAAAAAAAACGGATTCTTTTAATACACTTCTTTTGCATTTTATCATTGCAACAAGTTGCTGTTTCTCTCTGCTTTTATGGATGATGTCCAAAACTAAGAACAAACGCTTAATTTTTCAACCATTAGGATTAATTTGTTTCACAACACTACTACACTTCCCAGGAACTTGAAATGTTTTTGATAAACTAAATCTCTCTTCTTTATCCAGGATTTTTTTTTTTAAACGAGTAACTTTGCCAAAGTTTTTCCTATACAAACTTTCAATTGCTTTGTTCTAAGCTTGAATTTACAATGATATATTTGCAATTTTAAAACCACTCAGAAAAACAAAAAGCAAAAACTGATTAACTAAAACCAGGTCAAAACACATGAAACCTGGCTAACCCAACACTCGCAAAATTTCCTACACCAATTTCCCCGAGGCGTTGGCCCCCTCTTGTTAGAAAAACAGACATCACCAAAGAATATGGGTATATATGTTGGTTAAATGTATGTTTAATTTTTCTAAGATTCTATATATTTAAGCGCTTAAAAAATATCATATTCCCGTAGTGGACGAATTGTTTAAGTAGGGGAGAGGTCTACAGCCTAAAATTTGCAGAATTATTCATAAGAAGACAAATTAATACGAGTCCACGCCAATAATTACAGTTACCAGATATAAGCAGAAGAAGAGATAGTGGAAACCTGGGGGACTAGGAGTGTTGGAGTCGGGTGGTGAAGGTGGTCCGGGGCCAGCCGATTGACACCGTGGCGAGCGCGTATTGGAATCGGAACAAAGGCGGATAGGGAGAGAGGGACGATGGGGATGAAACTTCGGGGGAAAGCACAAAAATTGAAGTGAATCAGAATTGAACCTTTCGAAACTGGAAAAAGTGAAACAATGGTGGTGGCGCCAAGGAGACGAAACTGATAAAGCGGTGGCCATTACCATTTCTCTCCCACCGATTTCTATTCCACCGGATCACAGAAATGTGGGAAATACCATTATATATACTGATGGGCTCGAACTGCATGGCACAATTTGTTCTTTGGGCCTCATTATTATTCTTTGGAATGCCCATGTTTACTGGGTTTGGAGGGAATTAGATAATTGCACTTTGATACCATTTTATTAGATATATTTACATATAATCCGACAAAATACAAGTTAATTTTTTATTAGCAACAGACATGTTCAAACTTTTTATTTTTCTATTTCATACATAAACACCCAGCATGACAAAGGACACTCTTAAAGGAAGGTACTGATGAAGTTGGTAGATGAAGCTATCAATTGATGGGAACTTGCTTCACATCTGTCTTGGATTGTTCAGTTTTGGGGACGATTATGGAAAGCAACACCATCCTTCAGTCTTAATATCATCAACTTTGGCATCATCAGGCAACACAAGGCTTGTGTTATAGTATCCATAGATCCTGGCAAACCAGGAGTCATCGTCAGGACCTCCATCTTCTTCTTCCTTGTGTTCCCCTTTTGTGTTTAGAACCCAATCACCAATGGTGATCTTAACATTCTCTTTGGTTAACCCCGGCATGTCGTAAAGCAGGTTGTAGCAGTCATCTTGCTCCTTCACTCGAGTCATCAACGTGATGGTGTCAGGTCCGGGCTGTCGAATAACCTGTTTATATTCTCAGTTGCTTGGAACAATACATTTCCAAGGTCTGACGGTAAGATTTCTAACAACGAAAAAAAGGTGAGCAGATTCTTAAGAATTTATAAAAGGAACAAGATAAGAAAACTAAACAACAAAAACAGGGAATTCAAATCCTGAGAGATACCATACCAGGAAGGGTAGGAGCATAGTCATTTTGTCTGTTCCTCCAATTCCAAAGGCTTCTCCTGTTTCTCCTCCTTGGGGAAAAGCCTGATTTCTTTTCACCATCTGAAACAGATACTTGTTTTTTTGTTGTCAACAGATTCCTTATCGGTAGCCGTTTCCATAAACCTCTTCAACGTCTCATCATTCCACCTTTGCCTTTGCACCCCACCAACGCTCCTCTCTCCAAGACTATGACCCAAAAGAGATGAAGAAGATGACACCCTTTGTTGCAAATTTCTCAAATCCAAACGAGCCACTGCCATTGTTGATTGCAGACAAAAATGGCATGTGTGTGTCCACTGTTTGAAAGTTCTACAGCGATGACACTTTTGTTTGTAACCTTTCTTCAAATATTACCAATCTAACATCATTTCCGACAAAGCACGAATCATAAAGCACACCTTCGTAGGGTTCTGTCCGAACTGGCGCCATGGTGAAAAATGCGGATCATGAGGTGTGTCTTCACAGGGTTCTGTTTGAATTGGCGACAAGTTAGAAGGCGCGAATCATGAAGCGTGCCTTTGCGAGGAAATTTGACACGTACATGAAGGAGCGTATCATGAGACGAGCCTACCATTATTCACCTTGAATTATTGTGTACTCTATTATTACTCGAGTCTTAAATCTCGGCTATTCACCCATCCCCCTCCCCTATGAATACCCCCGAATGCAAACATCAAACCACACCAAATTACTTTCACATTATTCCTTCTATCAATTCATTATATCAAGCTAAGTAGATTTTATTATAATTTTTAGAAAGTAAAATTATTGTTTATTATATTATATTTATTTTATATTTAATTATTTGACCAAATTTTATTGTACTAATTATTTTATATTATTTTTTGCGGTTGTAAAATGGATTGCATGATCATATCTCGAGACATTTTATTGATACAGTAACAATATTAAATCATGTTATTTAAATTATTGTGTTTTTTTATTTTGTATCATTAGTTTATATTTTAATTCGTATACTATTTATTTAATTAAGTATATTTCAGCTATTGTTTTTGCAGATATAGGACTCTCAATTTTTCAAACTCTCAAAATCTCAAAATGAAGTTTATTTCAGCTATTGTTTACTATAGTGAAGAAATTTGGGAAGATTTAACAATTGTTGTCTTCGCATCAAATTATTATGTCAGAATATGCTTTAAGAGAAACATCACTCTTGAGGAGCTGATCACTAAAATTTCAAGAAAAGTTCATGTTGGAAGTACTAGAAGACTGTCATCACTTCAGTGCATATTTCCAATTGCACTATTTTCATTAACTTATACAGCGTCCGAACTCTCTAACGATGACAATATTGTTATGATGGTTGATGCTCATAATCAAAATTCAGATGCTGAAACACAAATGTATGCCACATTTGTTGAAGTATCTGTAGTTTGTGGTATGTCATTATGCTCTCACTATGGGCTGGCTCAAGAAGCTGATCAAGTTGACAACCCAACTCAAGTAATGTGTAATGATCTTAACTCGTTAATGGGGAATCTACATCCTGATATCATTCCATCAAGTTCAATGGGGAGACATTCATCAACAACTTGTTACGATCTCCACCGAGGTGGTTCCACGAACAATTCGTATGGCAACATCGCTTCCTATCCAAATGAGGTTCAAAATTGGCTTCCGATTGTACCAGATCCATCCTTATTAAGGGAGGCAGGTCATCCATAATCCACTCGAATTCATTGTGATATAGATATTCGAAAGACGTCCTAAGAAAACAAAATATGTAGGCATTGTAGAAACCTAGGGCACAATAGGAAAAAATATACATCTCTTTTATCACCACGTAACCGTTGATGTTGTGACGATGTATATGAAACCTCAGTTTGTGTTATTTCATTTTCGTTTACTTTTAATTAATGTGATACTCAAGTGATGTAATACTCAAGTGAAAATTAAATAAAAACATTACAAACTAAATAATGAAAACAATAAAAAATAATTAAATAGAAACATTAAATACAAACGTTATAATTCAAACAATTAAATAATAAAAACATTAAGAAACAAAATAAATAAAAAGTCCATAATTAAATAAAAACATTAAAAACAAAATAAATAAAAAGTTCATAATTAAATAAAAATATTAAGAAACAAAATAAATAAAAAATGTCTATCGATGTTTGCGTCTTAAATGTGTTCCACAGAGCGGTGACTGTCTATTTCGACGAGGATTTTTTCGTATAAGTTACTTTTCCCCCTCACTCTCTTCATCATCGTCAACAACAACAGCATTAGTAGTAGCAACTATATTTTGTTGATGAGAGACGAATGATGATGTAAAACCTCCATAAAATAAGGACTCTGAAGGTGTAAGACTAACCATCTCACCAATCATAGAAAACTATGAAAACTGCGAAAACATCGACATCAATGAATGCGAAAAATTGAGCCAAAGGTGTATGTGTCTCTGGTGAAGCATCACCCACCAAATAAGCAACATATGAAGACCACGCTGGATCTATAAGCATGGGAGTACATCCGTCAGAAGGTGTCATAAAACCCTGCGGTGGTGGCATTTGAAATGGTTGTGGTGGCATAAAAAACGGTTGCGGTACCATCTGAAATGGTTGTAGTGGCATCTGAAACGACTGCGGAATATAAACTAATGTAGACAATGACTCGGTGCTACAGCTAAGGATGAGCCGAAAGCGCCTGCTCTTCGTCCACTAGTCGGGAGACGATGATGTTGTGACGGTAAACGCTTTTCTCGACCCCGATGAATGCTATCGCCTTGTGTTTCCTCGGAAAGTAGGAACGAATTCTCGTTCGTGTTGAACTATTGATAATAGTCATCCGCAACCGAATAATGATCAACATAAATCGACTCCGTAAGGGGAATGCTTCCACGTCAATCCTCCTAGATCTTTACCTACTCGATGTGCTTCATCAGCTAGTTGACGTCTTTTTTACCCCGTCTAAGGATGTTATGCATATTGATGATATTCTTAGGTGCTTCAGGAATAGATTGTATGAAACTAAATTGGCTGGACACGTGATCAGTATGATGCCACTCGACAATAACATAACATATCAGAAGGACCGCTACCATCTATACATCTAATGGGACATCAAGTGAGGTAGGATGCAATTCCTCATTTCTTTAGTACAATAAGGAGTTCATTGAAAATAAAACAAATATATATAATTATTATCAAAATAATATTCTAATTATATAACGATAATTAAAGGTAAATATTAAAATTTAAATACATACTTCTATAACAGCCTCTTCATTAATGAGTAGCCGAATTTCTTCCAATTCGTATAGTATATCACGATGATTTTTCCTTATACATGACCACCTATTCAGTGTAAAAAAAATTCATTATATACTTAAAAAAATTTATATATAAACTCGGTATTGAAATTACCTCAACAATAAGTCAATAACAGAAAGACTAACGAGTTTTTCACCACCGGACATAAAAATGACATGCGATACCATGCTCAGGATTGCAAAAGAATGAGACATCCGTCAATAGCATTTTTTCGATAATCAGTTGTCCGACACATTTCTCTATATAGAGATGTCAAAATCATAGAGCCCCAACTGAATGAGCTGACAACTAAAAAATCTGTGAGGTGACTCAACCACATACAATGAACTTGGTTGCGAGATTTATCGGGCATCAAGATATGAGTTGTAATATGCAAGCCCAGACAAATATTTTAGCATGTTCCTCGGAATATTTTTCTCTCAACTGTCAAAAATTGGTAGCCAATCGTGATAACTATATTCGACCACTGTTGAAATTAGGCGAGATACCTCTAAGATACTCCTGGCACAAGGAATGTCAATCACCATCCGCCACAACAGAAATAACATCTCCTTCTACCGGAAGCCCCAAATATATGGAAACATCCTCTAGCATAATAGTGCACTCCCCACATTGAAGATGGAATGTGTATGTCTCTGGTCTCCTTCTCTCAATTAGTGCAGAAATAAGGTTGAGTTCAATGTTATAATGCCCTTTATATTTCGCTATGTCACCGAATCCAGCCGTGACTAAATACAGTCAGACACGACTCGATATCTCTAACTTAATATGTTAGGAATAAATGGATCTAATATACGGTCATTCATATAATTAAATAAATAATATACAAATTAAAATATAAACTAATATTAAATAAATAACTAAATAAAACATTTATAATAAATAAAATAATAGAATTTAAATTATTATCGTATCGACAAAATGACTCGACATATGATTCTCAAATAAACGCAACAACCCACTTGCTATTTTATAACTGTAAAAAATAATAAAAAAGTTAGTACAATAAAATATAATAAAATAATAAACTATTAAGTGATTATAATATAATAAAAAATTAATTTCTAAAAATGATAATTATACCTTATTAAAACTTGATAGAAGGATAAATGGAATGAAGAAATATAATATTTTCATTTGTGGTGTGAGTGTTGAAAGAGATGGGGGTGTTTATAGGGATATGGGGAGGGGGAGGGACGGTTGGGTGGTATTTATGGCAGACGGTTGGATTTTAATGAAAGGCGAGAGTCATGATCTGCACCTTTTGCTAGCTCGGATGGAACTCCGCGAAGGCGAGTTTCCTGATCAGCGCCTTCCAACGCGGCCCAAGCTCGGATAGAACTCCACGAAGGCGCGCTTCATTATCTACGTTTTATCAGAAAGGATCCTAGATCGGTAATACTTGAAGAAAAATGTGTCTAATAGGTAATATTTCATTGTTAGGATGATTTTTGGGTAAAAACACCCTTATGTTGTTGGTGAGGGAGGAAAGGCAATCTTATAGAGGTGTTGGGTGTTGATGTATGGAGGATTAGACGTTGGAGGAGTAATCTGCCAGGTTCTAGGCTTTTAGGATGTGGTAGAATAAGGTACAATCTCATCAACACATTGAGAGGATTATTCCTGGACCTTCTCAAACATTGTAAACTGTCACCCTTGTGGAGTGTTCCAGAGGGGAATGGATCAGTTGCTATGTGTATTTTCTCATTCTAGAAAAAGTGATAAATTGGACAAAAGTTCGATTATCTTTACAACCTCTTCTATATTTTTTAATGTCATTCGTATACATTTCATAGTTCATATTCGAAATATGTAACTGTCATCTTAATAAGATTGTTTCAAAAACTCGACCATGTGCCTGAAATATGTATTACAACTTTTTTTGGATTAGTTCCAATTCAATACAGCAAGGTCCATTGCGTTGGCGGAAAAAACAGAAAACAGGGAACCGCAGGCAAGAAAGACCCTGAAATTGGTACAGTTGACATACAAATGGGGCTTAATGCGTTTTCCCTATCGGACATATTAAAATGTTACAAGAAGGATATTAATATGTAACCATCTTCCAAAAGCCAGTTATACTGTTGTTCAATCATACAACCCTTCCTGCTCCCAGGCGTCCACAAGAAAATCTATCATTTCCTGTCAGATTTCAAATCAGTTAAGCAAGCGATTTATGATTCTATGAGCTCAGCTTGCTGGAGCTGGGACTTACGGAAAGAGGAAGAGGCTGAGGGAATGGCTTCGTGCTTCCAAGTAAACTTTCATAAGTCGCATTCCAACTGCAAAGCCAGAAATGTTTAACCATGAATGAGTGCTGACAAGATAAAGGAAGTTCATACATGATTCAGGGACGGCAAGCACCTAGAATCTGCTAAAATCAGGATGCTTAACACAGAGTCTTAAAACATCAAGAAAGGACGCGGCTTATTGCAGGTGTCACTTGTGTTGGTGCACATACAAACATCGTTTTTGTTCTTTTTAATTTTCAATCTTATGAGCTACGGAAATGAATAATGCGAAAATAAATATCAACATACATGGAGAATAAAGATGTGACCTAATGCAGAAAGCTAATTTCAGAGGGTAGGGAGAAAGACCAAGGACACCACTTAAACTTGGGAATGTGGAAATTGATTCATATCTAGTAATTCCAAACAAAAATAGACTTAGCTGCCTCCTACATGTAAACAATAGGCATAACAAAAAAAAAATAGTTCATGTTATTTTTGTTATTTTCTTGACTGCAAATACAAAAATCTTGGCACAGACAATTTGGCAAGTGGATGAGAGTTCATAGGAAGAATGGTACTAAAAGATCTTAAAAACATGGAATAATAAAAAAGGCCAAGTATATGTTATTGTGATAAGAACTCACTTTAGTTTTGGCTCTCGAACCTGTTGAGGCTGATTTTCAGACTTCGTGTTTCCTACCCAGTGCTGTCTAGTCTGATTCCAGAGAAGAAGGCCTACAACCAAGAGCAGTAGTAAGATGGTGAAAACACAGCCTTATCTTGCTTTAGTTCCAAAAGTGGTATAAACAGAATTATCCAGATATATTAGTCCAACACCAACCAAGGTAACTTAAGAACTGATAACTTGCCATGATTTACAAATTCAGATGGGCCATTAGAACTTGCAGCACCACCATTTGAATCAAGCATCCGGGTGTTTGCACTGATTGAGGAGATGCTTCCCTGTGACTGCACGGCACTGTTATCCATATCACAAGTGCTAGTGGTCCAGAAACCTTCCGATATACTGGGTTTAGTCACTGTCTGTCCTTGAGATTTTAATCCTTTTGATGACTCATTCGCCAAGGGATTGAAAATTGGCCTCTTACAGCATCCTAGACAACCACTGCTCTGTTGCAAATCACAAACAGTGGTATAAATGATTAGTACCAGCCACCCGAAACTCTAAAGCTGAGCCTAAAACACTGCTAGTGAGCTCATCTATAAGATATCAAATAATATTTAACATAAATTCAAGGGATCGCATTATAGGTAGGTCAACTATAATAAATAGCATGCAATACATCTCTTTGTGATATCAGCACACTATTCGAAGCGAAGCTTATCTGAAAACTCAACAGATTAAACTCAACCCAGCATTTCAGCTAGGTTGCCAAGATAAACACTCCACAACAATGGGTTCACCTTCGACACTTTTAACACATTAGAAACTGAAACCGTGGTAGGCAATCATGAAGTCCTTATGATACCATGTCTTATCAATCTCAGTGAAAAATCATTCATGTTAACTTTAAAAAAAAGTTGTCTGCTACAATAGAAAACTGCACAACATTAGAAATTTTTGCAATTTACCAATGCTGATAAGAAGCGCATAAACTTAATGACTACATCCAATATTCCTCAACTAGTAACTTCTTATTGTGATTATTTGGAAAGTGAATAACTTAAATCCATCAAAAAATACATGAACTTTTACTTTTAGTTTCAAACAAAACCAAAATGTTCCGCAAAGACATGGCTATAGAAAAAAATATATGATCAACAGTAAATCCAGCAGAATCGTAATTAAAGAACCAAATGAGCATGCAATTCCGTAAGGTGAAAAACAGGTCTGGATGAAACTGATACCCACATGGAATGGGATTCAGTACTTTACACCAAAATGTTTACAAGTGAATTGCAAACACAAAACACATACAAATTTCTAGGCAACTGAAAAAAAAATGAAAGTTTTCTCCACTCATAGCCTACATCAAGCCAGTGGAAGAGGATTCCAATTTACAAACATATCCAACCAAAATAATTGAATAAAAAGCTACAAAAAACAACAAAATCATAACAGGGGAGAAACCCAGAAAACATACCCCATATATACAAAACCAGAACTCCCAGAAGCTAAAACAGATCTGCAGCTCAATGGGAATCCGATTCCTGAATGAAAGATCAAACCTTGAGGAAATAAAAGGTAATCGAATTTATAGAAATGGAACAAAACCCAATGACATAGCACCCAAAAAAAAGTATATATTTGATTTTTTTTTTGTTGAAGAGAAAACAAATTTACCTGTAAAATAGTGTCAAATTGGTTTCTTTGTTCTATTCGGTGTCTCAAGCTGCTTAAAAAGTAGCCCTTCACTGACTGTGCCTCTGTTGAATCTTATTTTTCTCTTTTATTATCTTAATTTCCTCCTCTTCTTTTTCTCAATCCTTTTTCCCAGTATTTGGGCAAATTGAAGGAAGAAAAGTACTCTTAAAAAAGAAAAAGAAGTGATGAAAACGCAGATACTACCATGGTTTTCATAATCGCGTCCGTTAGCGAATCGATTATGTTATTGATTTATTAGTTTAACTAGTTGAATCGGTTTGATCGGTCAGAAGAACCAGACGACGTCATAATTATTTAAAAAATTAAATAAAAATATCAAAAATATTTAATAAAAAATAATTTTTTATATCACAATTCATATTCAAAACAAGTCATATCATATATAAGTTAAAAATCATAAAATCAAGTGAAACAAAATGATTCAAATTAACTAAATCATAATATTTAAGGTAAAATATATTAAATAATAAATATAATTATATAACTATAATTAAAAAATAAATTTGGTTTAAAAAAAGCATAACAAATGATATTGTTCGGTTTAATTTTTTTTTAAAAACAATCTCACATGCCTAAGAAACATAATAATAGAGGTAATTTGACATTCAAAATCATGGAGCTTTTTGGTGAGCATTGAGTGAACTATTCTTTCACTTCAATCAAGCTCGAATTTTAGACTTCAGTCGAGCTTTTAAATTTTTTTTGAGTTCAAGCCTTTTCGAGTTCAAGTTTCAATATTATATTTTGAGTTCGAGTTGAACTTGATAATTTTTAGCTCGTGAGTTTGAGTCGAGTTGAGCTTACTTTTAAATTTTTCAAGTTAGAGTCGAGCTAAGCAATACTCGAGTTCGACTTGGCTCGTTTAACAAACGACGTCGTTTGGTTTAATTTTTTTTAAAAAAAACAAAATTGACGGTTTTTTCTAGTTTTTCCCAGTTTTTTCTGGTTTTCAACTGGTTCGGTTTGAACGGTTCAGCGGTTCCGGCCGATTCACTAGTAATGTTTCAACGAGTCTAAATTGAACCAGACTATACAACGATTCCTGGTTAAACCGGTTGAATTGACCGATCCGATCCGATTTTCAAAACAATGGATATTACATAGACCAAAAAGTTTAGTTTAAGCTTCCTTGAGGTTGAACTATTCCCTTATACCATTTTTCTTTACTTATCTAGCATCAAACTCATAATTAAATTTAGTGCTGTAAATGAGTTGACTTGCGCTCAACTACTGTTGAGTTCGAGTTACTAAACTTAAAAATGAAGTTTAACTAAATTTTTTAAGCTAAATTCGAACTCAAAAATATAAATTAAAGTTTGTAAAAGATTTGAAAAAAAAATGAAATAAAAAAATTCTTAAATTTAACTCGATTAAAGTTTAAACTCGAAATCGAATCTGAACTTTAAATGTATAAAAATCTTATATTATTTTTTTAATATCAATTCATAAATGTTAATATTATTAATAGTTTATTTTTAAGAATACAATATCTTAATTTATTATATTTTCGAATTGCTCACAAGCTTTTCGAGACGACTATCAAGTAACTAATTTTGGTTTGTTAATAACTCGAGTTGAGCTCGAGCTTAAATCAAGTATTTATAAAACTTTAACTTAATCGATCTCGAGTTCTTTCTAATCTCTACTCCTTCATGACGACAAGCCAATAAAGTACAAACTCCGCTTTTATTTTGTTTGGGTATTTTTATTTCAGTTTTAATCGTTTATCATAATTAATTTTTTAAAAATATATGTCAATTCTTATATTATTAATTTATTAAATTTTATTCACTTATTATGTTTTGGTCCTTAACCTCATCGAGTAACATGTTAATAATAATAATAATAAATAATAAAAATCACAATTAAATAAAAAAAACATATCTTTTGGAATCAATAATACTAAGGTCATGTGAAAGAGGAAAGTTTATAGTTAAATATATAAAATCATACTTAATTCTTTTAAAAAATAATTGACTATTTAAATTAACTATACAAAAGATAACGTGTTTTTTTTTGGCATTTTATAATTTTTAGAAAATATTTAATATTAACATGATATATCTTTTAACTCTAAAAATAATATTAGAAAATTATAATATACTCTTAATATTTAAAAATAAAAATTAAATGAATAATAAAGGCTAAACTGACGAGATAATGTTGTGGGAAAAATAAATTCACGAGATAATATGTTCCAACAATTAATTGCTGAGTTAATAATGTGTTATATGGCGACCTTGCTTGGTTGGATTGCATGGCGACCTTCAACAGCTCGCGAGGACGGCATGGCGACCTACGGTTGTACTGTGGATTTCATCCTATCTCAGTAAATAATATGGAGATAGCATTATCTCGTGAAATAAATAATTCCAACACATTATCTCGTGGATTTAGCCAATTTATAAAGCTACAAAATTCCTTCATAAGCACATTATTTATTTTTTATTAATTATGTAAAAAAATCATATAATTTATTAAATGGATAAATCTTTTTAAAAAAATATACATTTATTAAATTAATAATATTCATGTTATATTAAGATATTAAAACATTGAGTTATTGAACAGCGGTTAAATTGAATTTATGAGGTATTAAAACATTGAGCTATTAAAAAATATACATTTATTAAATGGATAAATCTAGATTTGCTTCCTTTAATTTTACTTTTAAAAGATATAGTGATTAATTTTAAAATATATTTATTTTAAAATTACCTATTTAACATTAATTATAAATGCACTTTTAGTTCAATTAATTTTTAAAATTTAATGGTGAGTGAGACCTAATCAAAGTTATTCTAAAGTAATATTATTAAGTCCTAGATAACAAGATAAACATAATTTTTTAATAATATTTATTTAAAATATTTTTTAGTTCATTGACGACATATACTATACATATACAACTATTTGAATTTAGATTTTGTTAAAAATAATATTATTTTTATCATTAAAATTATTTAATAAATGTGAAGATAAATAATTAAAACATGCATCTTATCTAGAAGATTGGCGAATTGCATTAAAGATGTGGTTGGGCAGGCAAATCTGAAGCAATCATGTTCAAGGCGGATTTCGACACACAAAAAAAAAACTTATGATATGGTCGATTGGTCCTTCTTGGATTTAATCCTACAAAAGATGGGCTTTGGTGCCAAGTGGCGTAGTTGGGTTCAATTATGCTTATGGACTGCATCAATATATGTGATAGTTAATGGGTCTCCATCCGGCCTATTCAAGACTCGTAGGGGCCTAATACAAGGCTGCACTATGTCTCTTAGGGATGTCAATGGGTCGTGTCGGGTTTTTGGTACAAGGCTGCACTATGTCTGCTAGGGATGTCAATGGGTCGGGTCGGGTTTTTGGGCCACCCGACCCGACCCGAGAAGAAAGGGTCCTCCACCTGTGACCTGACCCGGCCCGACAAAATTAAGGTTTCACCCGACCCGACCCGAATATATGACTTAGAAACTCGACCTGACCGGACCCGAAACGAAATAATAAAAAAATATATTTTTATTCAATAAAAACAATGACTTAATTGAAAAAAATTATATATAGAGTGATATTATTGTAATTATCCCTAAATATATAAGGTATAATTATATATAATTTGAGTCGGGTCGGGTCGAATTTTTTCCACCTTAAACCCGATCCGACCCGAACCTAAATTTTATTAAAAAAAATCTAAGTCGATAGGATCAAAACCCGTTGAATTCGGGTTGAGTTGCCATCCTTACATTTCTGTTCAATATCGTAGGGGAAGCGCTTTCCCTTCTGATTTGAAACACTGTCGAGTTTGGTTTGATAAAAGAGGTGAAGGTGGGGTCGACATGTATCGAGATTACACGCCTACAATTTGAATTAAACATTAATAAATGTTCTCACTAAGGCTGTACTATGTCCCTTATTTCTAGTATGAAAATTATGGTACCGGTGAACAATAGACTGCTAGATAAGGAACGCAGTCCATTTGATTTTGTTTGGTCCACAATTTTCCTAACTAAATCCTGGGAAATCGATATTGTGGGTCGGAATAAATGGAAACAATCAAACATTCAAGTCGGTATTGCTATGCCAATTTGCTATTGCTTTTGTCGATTGTGTAATTTCATTTTTTTTATTATCCTGCTTTAATTATGTATATGATTCCGCAACCATTAATTTTTGATATTGTGTAATTTTAAAAACCAATAATTTGGCAACTTAAATTCTACAAAAATATAATTTTTTTTTAGGAAAAAAAGAATTTTAGAAGCAGCTAAAAATTAAGAATCAATACGAACTCTGCATTTTATGCACACGATCCCTGAGGATTCCATTGTATAAAGCAATCCTATTAGGAGGCATTTCATTCCTGCAGAATCTATCTGTTTCTGCAATAAACTTCTTTCGTTGTTCTTTCCTGTACTTTTCTCCGTTACCATTCGTTTCCTTTACATTCTCGGCAAACTGCACTTTCTTCTTTCTTTTGTCCCTTCTCTTCCCCTCTGATAATATCCACCGACAATTAATAAAAAAACATAATTCAGTAATTAAGGAAAAAAATCCATGAGGATATACAGATAATATACCTGAAGAAGACAAGCAAGAACGAAGAGATTGCTTAGGAGGTGGCAAACATTTTTTCCTTGAAAGCCCAAGGAAAATCACGGCGCTGGAAACAACCATAGCAGTTGCCAATACCAAACCACCCTGCGAACATAATCCTGAAGACATGGAAGAATCCACCCCAGAAACGTGTAGGATCTTTTTTTTAAACAGAAAGGTGGGGTAATGAGGTTTATATATACACAACAGTGCAATGGAGGCTGCAGGGGTTCGGATCTTAAAATAAAGTAAGCCAAGATAAATAGGCGTCAGAATTTGGAGTTCTCTGGGTTTTGCGTAGCTTTTTAATGGAGTTGGGTCTGGGATTTGGCATTTTATAAAATCTGTGCACCACACGGAAAAGGCAATGTGGAAAGGGAAGGTGGGAGGAAATTTTGCAGGACATTGGGTCAACACAGTGCTCATGGACTTTTAGAACAGACCCACAAAGTTTCACACTTTTAATATAATTTAAATCATTAATTCGTTGAATTTTCTTTTATAATATAATTTTAATCTTTTTAGTCAAATCACCTACCACTTCTGTTTTGAAAATCAGATCGGATCGGTCGGTTCAATCGGTTTAATCGGGAAACGTTTCTTAGTTCGGTTTAATTTAAACCGGTTGAACCGTTATTAGTGAACCGGCCAGAACCGCTGAACCGTTCGAACCAGACCGGCTGAAAATCGGAAAAAACCGGGAAAAACCAGGAAAAACCGAGATTTTTGTTTTTTTTTAAAAAAAAAAATTAAACCAAACAACGTCGTTTATTAAACGAGCCAAGTCGAACTCGAGTATTGCTGAGCTCGACTCGAACTTGAAAACTTTAAAATTAAGCTCCACTCAACTCAAACTCACAAGCTAAAAATTATCAAGTTTAACTCAAACTAGAAATATAATATTGAAACTTGAACTCAAAAAGGCTTGAACTAAAAAAAATTAGAAGCTCGATTGAAGCCTAAAATTCGAGCTTGATTGAAGTGAAAGAATAGTTCACTCAATGCTCACCAAAAGGCTCTATGATTTTGAATGTCAAATTACCTCTATTATTTATAGAAGTTAGTTGTGATGCGCTTCCATGTTTCTTAGCAATGTGAGATTGTTTTGTTCTCATATTTTTACTCTTAAGACTTTTGGGATGCTCTTCTATGTTTCTTAGCCATGTTTGATTGTTTAAAAAAAAAATTAAACCAAACAATATCATTTTGTTATGATTTTTTTAACCCCAAATTTATTTTTTAATTATAGTCATATAATTATATTTATTATTTAATATGTTTTACCTTAAATATTATGTTGTAGTTAATTTGAATCATTTTGTTTCACTTGATTTTATGGTTTTTAACTTATATATGTTATGACTTGCTTTGAATATGACTTGTGATATAAAAAATTATTTTTTATTAAATATTTTGGTATTTTTATTTAATTTTTTAAATAATTATGACGTCGTCCGGTTCTTCCGACCGGTCGGATCGATTCAACCGGTTGAACCAGTGAACCGATAGCATGACCGGTTCATTAACCGGTCCGGTTCTGAAAACCATGCCTACCACTCTCTTGTTAAAAAGAAACAAAAACCTACCATACGGATCGAAGGTTTGGTACCCTTAGTCAGTTGGGTTGGTGTTACTTTATATATCTTGGTGTTGAACAATATGATAGCGCAAAGCAAGCAACTACCCATTATTGTTACCAACTACATATGATTCACGACCATCTTTCTTGCAACATTTTACTATTATACTGCCTGTTGGACCTTTGGGATTGGTCTGTTTCCCCTAATTTATCCCTTCTTGATATATTAATCATTCATCATAGATTAATCTCCTAATTGATCAATTGGTTTAACATCTGTAAATCATTTTGCCCCTGGGCTTACATGAATATCGTTTGCAGACCTTACCCAAAATTTTGGAATTGATAGGAAAAACGACATACAGATGTTTCCGACACATAGAAACCATAAACTGTAGAGATCTGATTTGTCGATAAATGACATTCTCTGTCCAAAAATCAGTTGTGGATAAAAATATCATATGAAAAACGTCATATATGGTGCAGATGGAGGCTCGGGAGATTGGAACAACCACCATTTGGGCTTGAAGCTGAGCACCACGTGTCCAGTTAATCATTGAAATGAGGACCTTGTTGTACACGACTTTGACACTATTACGCGTGTCTCCCATTTGTGAATCCTCCTTTCTCCCATTGAAACAATTTTATTTATTTTTATTATATTTTAGAAGATAGTTTAAACTCATCAAATGGTTATAAAATAGAATGATATTATTTGTAGAGATTGAATTTAAACAGTTAAATTTATAGGAATATTTATTATTGTGTCTTGAAATCTCAAATTTAAACATCACATATGTTAGGAATATTATAAGAATATTTATTGTTACATTTTTTAAAATCGTTGAACATATAATTTTTTATATTCATCTTAAATTTATAAAATTAAGAATAATTTACCCATTTTGAGCGTGGTTAAGCTAATATTGCTTCAATTTCGTAATTTGTTGGGCATTAAATTCGGCTACTATTTTTTATTTTGATTTAATTTATCTCAAGATTATTATTTTTGTTATTGATGTGATGTGATGTACTTAGTTTTTATTAATATATTATCCTATTTTAAATTTTACTAAAAAGATTATTAGCCTATTTTTTTAAAATGTTTACCCATAAAGACCCCAACTTTTAGCATGATTTTACTAGGAAAGAATAAAAATTTAGCAATCTAACTAGGATCTCTGGGATACATTGGAGGGAAAAGTGATGCAGACAAGGTGAATAATACCAAGAATTAGACATAAACCATTTGCAGAAGCATTGTGGAATATTCATATTCTGCAGTATTACCGAATGTTTGGAATGGACAGCATCATGTAATGTTGCACGTTTAATCCAACTTGCAATCTTCATTGTATGCATGTATATAATCTTCATTGTATGCATATATATAATTTTCATTGCAACTTTTGAGACAGAGCAGGCCAGCAGGGAGAGAAGGGAAGAAACATCGAGCAGAGGTAGCCCAAAGCTTGGCCGAATGGCAACGCAAGTTTATGTGTTGCAAGGTGTTGGTAATGCTCAATCCCACATAGTATTGAAAATACTATTAGGAATGAGTATTTATAGTATGGAATTCTCACTTCTTTGTTGAGTGAAAGAGAATAATGGGGACTCTCGCGTACCGCCGCCGCCGTCCGTCCGTCTCGTTTCGGCACGACACGGCTCGGCTCGGCTCGGCTCGACTCGTGGTCGTGGTCGTGGTAATACGTTAAGATGTATATGGATTGATTTCCCTCTTTGTACAGAGGAGACAAGTTGTTAATATCAGGACTTATTTGATTTAATTTCATGGGTTACATGATATAATTTCGGGAGTTATAACAGCTGAACAATGATGCAATGAACCTGGATTATTTTTGAATCAGGTTCATCTAGACGTTTCATCTGTTACAAAAGAAACGATTTAATCCTGAAATTTTATGGACGATTTTAACCCTATTTCTAGTTTATAAATAGAGGGCTATATTCAGCTTCTCAACTCACTCTCAACATTCACAATTCACTTTCAAAGTGTTTTTTGCAATTATTCTTTCTGTGCTTTCCGATAAAAAGAGCAATACCACCGGCAGTCCACTCTGATTTCGGGTGTACGGAATTCGGAGCGACCATGTTAATCTCGGCAGACGATCCGCCTACTACAACGATTACACACATCGGGACGAATTCGTTTCTAAGGCAATGGTTATACCACGACACAGTTTACGAATCTGTTCTTTTTAATTACTGTTTATATTTCCAGTCAGTGCTAACGGTGTAGTTTTGCGGTTCATATATCCAACACAAGGCACTAATGAAAAAAGTGAAATTTGATAAACCCCCGTTAGTTCTTATTCAAATGGTTCCGATAGAAGACATGGGGTTCACCCCGTTACTGGATAAGATCAATGCGTTTTGAATTGATAAAGAGGAAGATTATACCATCACACCCATTACGCCCTTAATTCTTTCGAAACAATTACTCAAGACTTGTTTCTCTGTGCAAGAAATAACATTTGAAGAACATAAAGGAAAGGCAGCAATGATCTGAAACCCACGATGGGATGTGTATTTTGTTTATCTCTGTTTCAGGGAATTGAACTCAAGCAGTGATTTTTATGGCTCTTTCTGATGATATATAAGAATGAGCCATTTACAAGGATCTCAACCCCTCAAACTCTGACTTAAAGGACACGAGGGGAACTGTTTATGATGCAAACAAGACACAGATTGAATAGATTAATTCCTTCACTAGTGAGCTTTTTTGCAGTGCATTCAAACATCTCGTATGACAAAAAGCAGATGTTTATAAAAAGAACACTAAATGATTCCGTTGCAAGCATAAAGACAAACATGAGGCAAATGAATTTAACAGATTAAAAAAATAATCAACAATCTATTGGTTGGTATAGTAGGATGAGGTACTAGATCCCTTAAATAAGATCAATAATTCGAATCATTACATTTATGAATGGAACAAATTGGGTTGTGAGGATCGTCTTTACCTCTATAGTATCCGATCTAAATTAGTCGATCAATAAATCATATATCATTAATTAATTAAAAAAGTTGGAGCACATGAATGAGGTGGGAACATTTGGCGTATTCTTTTATGGAACTTTATTAAGTAGATATGGTAATTTTAATATTTCATATTCTAAATATTTGTATTATCGACACGTAGAGAAATAACGATTGACGATAAACACGCAGATACTGCCAAGATCATGAGGGCAAAAAAAGAGACATTACTGGTTCAGAGTCAGAGTCAATTAAAAGCTTAGAAACAGCACGATGCCCTGATATTTTTTTTTCAACCAAAAGACTTAACTACCCCCTTTTTGTTGTTCGAAAGCTCACAGACCTTGTACTATAAGAATATTAGATTTTCGCTCCTCCATAGAAAATTCATTGTATCTAGGAAAATGATGAGAGGTGTGATCTGTTTACTCCCCTTGATTTTCATCTTCTTCACCATAGCTGATGCTAAGCGCATCTTTCCATTGCCTCGGCCTCAGCCTCTCGAATCCTTCAAGGTCAATGCAACCCAGGTATGAATCTGATTCCATTGATCTCTACTTTCTGCTTCTTTCTTCCAACTGATTATTATTCATCCATCCATCCATGGCTTTGATTATTAGATCTCTTTAGTTATAGTTTCAAGCAAATCTTGCTGGGAAGCCAAACTTCTGTGTTACAGATTTCCTGTTGGTGAATTCTTCCCATGTATAGTGTCGGTATTTATGTGTTGTTTTTATTTACCCTCTAAAATATAATGACTGTTATTTTTCATAGAATGAGAGGAGCTGCTCTTACACGGTATCAATAAGGACAAGCTGTTCTTCAACTACCTATACACGAGATCAGATCAGTCTCGCATTTGGCGATGCTTATGGAAATCAGGTATAACCATTTACATATGTTTTCTTAGTGGAATCATGAAGTTGGGAAATGGGGGTTTAATTGAATCGAGTGTTGTTGGAATGAACAGGTGTATGCACCAAGGCTAGATGATCCACAATCAAGAACATTTGAAAGGTGTTCGACCGATACATTTCAAATTAAGGGTCCTTGCACGTACCAGGTTTGCTATCTTTACCTCTACAGGAGTGGGTATGATGGGTGGAAGCCAGAGAGTGTGACGGTGTATGGCTATTATACCAAAGCTGCCTCATTCTATTACAATGTCGTTGTTCCCAGTGGAATTTGGTACGGCTTTGATTTCTGTAATAGGGGGGCTTCTGCTTCTGCGTAAACAATGTAGGAAATTAAGGAAAAAGGGTTGGGGTCTTGCTGATTTGAACACCAGTCTGGGAATCTACTGTTTTGATGTTTTGAAACTTATTCAGAGATTAGAGGAATAATATTTTTTGTTTAACGTGGTTGTTGAATGAAGGGCCATCAACAGATGCAGACACGGTTGACATTTTGCGTATTGAATGAATCATTGCTTCCAGTATTTACAGCCTGTTGTGGGGGTAAATTTATACTTTTAAATACAAATTTGCTGATAACATTGAGAATAGCAATGCAATTGTTTTTCTTGTTTAAGGTGTCCAGTAATCCTCTAGATTTCAATTGAGTCGGATTAGACTATTAGGCGAGGGAGAAAACTATCTTGGTGTTATTTCAAAACTCAAATACAACTCTTGAATGTTAATTTTATATGGTCAAATTATATATTACCAATAGGAACACAATGTTTTCATAACAAGGCCCTGATTTGTAGAAGGCAGAACAAGCTTAGTTCGCTAGGTAATTCGGAGGATTGGTGTTTGATGATAGTATCTTGAAACAGGAGGCCATTAATTTCTTTAGTCAGCTTTACACTAGGTAAGATCCTCGGTCGTTAGGTCACCATTTGCCATGTTCGATATGAATCCCGTTAAGTAGAAAGATTAGACATGCACACTTTTTTCAGAGTTAATGAGATGTAGACCAATCCTTATTTAATGTGGTGAAAGCAGTATTTCAAGCAGGGATCGACACGTATTTGAATGGGAATCTCTTCGTTTTAATCCCCAAAATATATTTATCAGTTTAGACCAATTAATGTGTATGGTATACACATGAGATGACTATCCAGCTCAGTTGGTAGAGCACAAGGTTCTTAACCTTAAGGTCGTGGGATCGAGTCCCACGGAGGGCATTTCATAATTCGGAGGTCTTCTACTGAAGTTGCTCTCAACCTGATGTTGGGGACAACCTACTATCTTACCTCCCTCTTACCCCATTATATATGGGAACAAGGGACAGTCATTTTTTTTAGTATACACAGTTCTTTCACTAGTCATTGTTAACAACCTAAAGTAGGTGGCTTGCTTGGATACCTCGGCTTTAGTTTCTGTTAGCTGCAACCGACCCTCCTCGGGACATGGAAGTGGTCAAGTTTTATGCGAAAAGTGCTTATAATGGCATGATGAGGGATAAATTGGAGACAGAGAATCAAGTTCGGTCTATAATTTGGAAGTTGCTCAACGGGTTCACCAGTTTTGTTGGCTTGCGTTAAAGGAGAGGCTGAGTGGTGCCGCCTTCATCTATCAGATGATAGCTGGTGTCCTGTGTGTGGGTATGTTTCAGACATTGTGTTACATTTGCTGTGGGATTGCGGTGTTGCCCAAGCTGTGGACCAAGGCTGCAGTCCGTGAACTGTTCTTGAGTTGCCTTTCTCCATTATGGTTTTAATTATGTATGTCTAATCCATTGACAAAATTTGAATCGAAATTAAAATATATTGACTTGACTCAACTTGAATTTTATAAAATTTGACCTGATAATATTTTGAATAAAGTTTGAATGACATTGATTTGATTAATTTAAATTGTTTTTATTGGACGTGATCCAATCAAATACTCGCTCATATTTGTGCCCATAAGATTTTTCTTTATAGCCCACTCAGTAGGAATGAATGTTTGATCAGTCGTCTTCATTTGGATTCCATATGTGTAGCTGCTGCTTACTTAGTGAGGATTATATCATAGGCAGGGGGATATTTTGTCCTTGCACATGAGTAATGAATGATCCTATTCGTTCAGGAGAGATTGTTGTTTTTAATGTTGATGTAAGTCCCTTTCTTTCTACTTATTATTAATGCTTTATCGTTAATTCATTTACGATAGTAAAAAGTGAATTTATGATGGTAAAAAGTGAATTTCAATTGATTTTTCACTTTGAAGCATTGCTGTTACCATTAACATCTGGGCATTCATGCATATTAGCAGCCAATATTTTCACTTGGAGTTGAATGTGAGCACAGAGTTGTTTGCTTAAATTTGCTGATATGGTTGTGAGCAATTGTTTCCATGTAATAGTCTGTGTATGAGGAACATGTGTTTGATCATAAATATTGGATGACTGACCTTTTGTTTCTAAATGTATTGTTTGAGACGATGATCTAATAATCTAATTTTGATATATAAAGCTTGTTATGCTTAACAGATTTGTCTATGAACATGGTCTGCAATCATTTGAATTTTAATTTTAAATCTTCCTTGAGTGATTACACACGTCCAATAAAAACCATTTAAATCACGTCCAATAAAAACAATTTAATTTTGCAACACCTACAAAATCACGTCGTTTTGATTCTGTAATCATTTTAGTCTCTCTTGGTTTGCAACACCTAAAAATTAATGAAAAAGACGTGTGTAATCATTTTAGTCTCTCTTGGTTTGCAACACCTACAAAATCAAATCGAGAGCCACATATATTAATGAGATTCTGTAATCAAATTGCATGAAAAACAAAGGTTAAAAGGAAAATGTACCCAAAACTTGATAGCATGTTTTTAGTAAGAAGTTCTGTTGCTGAAGCCTCTTGGGCCACTGCATCGGAAACATTCCATTCGGCTTGCAAAGTTGTGCTCATTGCATCCCGACCTGCATTCATCCACCAAATCTATGTGTCTAAGTTATTTTTGGTACAAAAAAAGGTTGAATCACAAGTTCAAATATATACCCAACTCAACTGCTTTCAAAAGAAACTATAGTATGTAAAGGAAACAACTGAGGGTGGAAAAAGCTGGGCATTAACGTGCACACGTAGTCACGCATATCTACACAACATGTCACTTTATTATACAAATATGTTCACCTGGTACATATCCAGTCGCCGGATTTCCACCCGGATCGATTACCGCCACCGACTCCTCTAGAACGCAGGACGTCGCAATCAAAGCCTCCGGCAGAGTCGTCCTTTAATGCACCGCATTTGAAGCAGCTAGAACGGCTAGCAAAGTTGTGGGTTCCACAGTTCCCCGCAGTGCAGTACCAGTCACCTGGTCGGACGTCGGAGCCTGTGGTGAATCCAAAGGAGGAGTCACCCCTCCCACCGCCGAAATGATCAGATGAACGGAATTCCCCACAGCGTTGGCACGAATCCCTCCTTTGGAAGTTGAGGTGCTGTCATGACCTGCAGTTCCAATCTCCTGGCCTGCTCATCTTTACAATATAATTCAAAACAAAAGCATTTTAACTCAGCGGCCAATACAATGTCCGAAAACAGAACATTGAGATTTGAAGTTGTACCTTAATTAGAATAATGGAAATATAATAGCTCTCACTTCAATAAGAGAATGGGGCTTGAATGAGTACTTGAAGAAACGACTCAACCAACGGCTCTTTATATACAATGGTTAGAGCACTGAAAAGGGGAGAAACGGAGGGCTAGCTGTGTATGCTACTTTTTCGTGTTCTTCACATTTAGCCTTTATAAATGAAATACTACTAACAATTATATTAATATATAAAAATCTAATAAAGCAAGAAAGAATAAAGGAAAATTCTGGGTATGATTCCAATGGAAGGAAAATTTTGAAATTTTCAATAAATTCGCCTTCTTTTTTTAGGGTCCTTTTCTATAGATTAAACCAATTTTTTTCTTTGATTTAATTTAGCCGGCAAATATATTGATTTTAATGTTGATTGTTGATCGTCGATTGTATTTTTTTTTAGTTTTTTAATAAGAATAATTCTATCTTTGTGACATGTTTATATCTATCTTTGTGACACGTTTTTTTTCTGTCCTTGTGACACGTTTTTCTCTGTCTTTTGGTAGTTTTTGGTCGTTTGGCAGTTATTTTTATTTATATTTCCTCTCAGGGTTGGATTTAATATTGACACGACTAATTAAGATGACGCTTATTTGTTATCATGTTGATCTTTCTTGCTTTAAACCTTTGGATTGATTTGAATTCGCATCTTACGTTTGTGGATAGAACTAACGAGGCTTTATTTAATGTGTGTGATCCACATCTTACCTTGTGGAACGTTTTTCTCAGTCTTTTGGTATTTTTGGTCGTTTGGCAGTTATTTTCATTTATATTTCCTCTCAGGGTTGGATTTAACATCGACACGACTAATTAAGATGACGTTTATTTGTTATCATGATGATATTTCTTGCTTTAAACCTTTGGATTGATTTGAATCTGCATCTTACGTTTGTGGATAGAACTAACGAGGATTTAATTTAATGTGTGTGATACGGAAATGGGGAAACATTTTTATAATGGTGATATGAGTTCAAACAATCTTTCTTTTGGTGACAAACAGTAAAACACTCAAACTCAAGCGGGATAGTGACGGTGTTGATTCGGGTAGAGGGAGGGAGAGGCATGTAGGGCAGCCCAATGCACCAAAAACCAAACAGGAGATCCTGTCACCCTATAACTACACCACATCTAATTCAAAACTTCTGTTCAATGGAATGCTATGAAGAATGAACCTAGCATTTCCTGTCATTTAAGGAATACTATGAAAAATGAACGTAGGCAATGAAAGATCTCAATTATTTAGGTCATGTCTCTTTCAATTATACTTTGAAGAATCAACAGTCAGCAAAATATGAGTAAAATTGTTGTTGCTTTACATTTATATTTTATTATTCTCCTTTTTTGTACTTAAAGCTCCATTTATTGATTTAGGTATCAATCATTGCTTTGTTCCATTAATGAAATATACGTTTTTATATTTAATTTTTTAGTGAAATTTAGGGAAAATTATAAGGTTTAGTGGAGTCCTTAAATGATTTTTATAGGCTTGCTGGAATGGCATGTGTTCATGATAAGTATAAGCTTAAATAACGTGATTAGGTTTTTCAAGCTTGGTTATATTTTGATTGATGAGACGTGGGAAATATTAGAAAAAAGAAGCAGGTGGATGGAATACAATTCATGCATGCACATATTTTGATTATAACTTTGATATTTTTAGAGGAGAGAAGTTGGAAAAGGAAAGGCAAATGAAAAAGAGAGAGAAGAGGAAATGGTGAGTTTCAATAAAGACAGGTGGGAAGGTGATGATATTGATGTTCTTCGAGGCTTTCATTTTGACCATCCTTTTGTTTTTGTTTTTTTTCTCTTTTCTGCGCCTGCTTAGGTCATTCTATTGAAGACGGGTAAAGGAGCAAACTGTAAAGCGAAGTGGTGCATGATTGGATTGGCCTTGGGAATCTCGTTCCCATGCACCACCCAACTTCATCCTCATCATTAGTCCCCCTCCTTTTTGTTCATTTTGCTCTGCTTTCTGTTCGCGTCTCTATTCATTACGATATTTTTTTCTTTTCCGAAACAATTATATATAAATGTAGTATTGGTTTTGAATTCATCTGTTGAGCAGTTGAGAAATTAAAAGTGGAGTTGGATGCCGACATGGTTGACCTGTTAAGTAAGATGATGCACGCCACATCTGGAAAAGGGAAGGGGTCGATATTAGACTACTATTAGCAGACCGCTATTATAGAGGGACATCCATTTTAAGTATACCTCAAGTGAAGTTATAAACGAATTCATAGTTTCTTAAATACCGTGCTTTGTGAAAATAGAAGAGCAGGGGAGGTCTCATTTTCATGGTGTGCACGGGTCAAGTAGAATCTAGAATCATGAATGAATGTATCAAACCTTGTCGGCCTATTTATTGAAGTTTTATGGAAGAGAAGTCAGACCCAACTTTATGTCAAGCCCACTTAATTTAGATTCTCACTTCCAACGCTTTGATAATCATGACCGGACATTGAATGCTTGTACCTTAGACATCTATGGTGCTCAAAATCGAATCTTCAAGGAATGACAATAATTCTTTTACTACGAAAGTTATTTGATTCGTGCAATTATTATACGTTACTCTAAGAAAGTAGTAAACAGCATAACAAACACAACATATTTTAATAAGCATATCATATATTTATATAAAATTTAATAACTATGTTGCATGTATACTTAAACGGCTCCTTCTTCTTCTTCATTATTACAGAAGTGTATTATCGATAAAAATAATAATAAGTTATGTCGTATTCAAGTAATTAAGGGGAAGTTTCCTTTGGAAATTATAACATGAACTTCCCTTTCCCAGTATCTTGTCGTGTTGTTCGTTGCTTCTAGTTTCCTTCTCCCATTGAGGAAACGAGTAATTGAAGCCTAATTTATTTTCGTACAAAGGCAGTATTAGTTTGTATGTTTTATACACAAGTACATCTCTAAGCTTTCACTATAGGTAAAACCCACCACTAGTTCACAACAAATAGGTTTAATAAAAGTAAATTGGCCTCTGCCTGATCGGATTTTGGGAATTAAACTCAACTTTGAGTTGGATGTTTGATTTGTGGAGGCTGAAGTGATCTAATTAGAGCCCAATCCAGGCCTTTGAAAAAGCCATGCCTCTTGATTTCAACAGCACCCCACAAACTTCCCATTCTCTTGTTTGGATCTTTCACAAGTAGCTTCCTTATCAAATCATGTGCCTTCCCCATTTCATAACCGCTACAAATCCTGGGAAAAGTTACAGGTTGCCCAAGTATGTTTGTCATGGTTGTCGCCGCACATTCACCTTCAAAAGGTGTCTTACCATACAATAGTTCGTACAAGAATACCCCAAATGCCCACCAATCTACACCATTCCCATGGCCTAATCCCCTTATCACCTCCGGAGCTAGATATTCTCGTGTGCCCACGAACGAACCCGATCGAGCATCGGTCGGCTCCGCCCATAATTGGACCTCCGGTTTCTGAATATCCGCTAGTAGTATCGCACTAGCACTCGGAGAGGAGGAAGAAGAATGTTTCATCTTGTTTTTCTTGTTAGGCAATGATAAATGAGAGTAGTACTTGTCCACGATACTACTGGCATTGCATTTCAAAAGTTTTGGTGAAACGTCGCATTTAAGGGAGAGATCGAGGTCCGTGAGCATAATATGACCATCTTCTTGAACAAGCACGTTTTCAGGCTTCAAATCACGATAAATTACACCCATCATGTGAAGATATTCCAATGCTACAAGCACCTCAGCTGCATAGAATCTGCAACAACAGTGAATGTGATTCTATGTCGTTAAAGAAACGTAAAAATGCGACTACATGAACCAAATAGTTTATCGTTGGAGTTCGAGTGTTGGACTTACTTAGCAGATGGGAGAGGAAATCTGGTATCAGGTTGGTGTTGCATAAGAGTGAGCAGGTCGCCACCAGGACAGTACTCCATGACCAGACAGGAGTACTGGAAAAAATTGAACTCAGCGTATAGTGTCGGAAGGAAGGGATGATCGAGCATTCCCAGAATGTTCCTCTCCATTTCGTGTCTATGTAACTTCTTTTTAGCTTTGAGTTGGTCCATATCGACCACTTTCATAGCATAAAGGCAGTGGGGATGATGATGGTTGGATTCGATGGCGGTGTTATTAATCTCACAAACATATACATTTCCCATACCGCCACAGCCTATTCGATGCAAGAGCTTGAAGTGTTGGATTTCGACTTGGCCATGCTCTGATAAAAGTTGGTCGAAGGGTGCCCAAGCAGGATGGTTTCCTTTGTGGGGTTTGTGATTGGTCGAACCCAAAGAAGATGAGGACTGGTTACGGCTAAAGCTAAGGTTGCTGTGCGAGGATGAATCTGGGCTTGGCGTTGCCATTGTTTTCAGAAGTTTCGTGTATTCTTAGTTGAGGATAACGAGTCACTTGCTCCCCCGTTTTATAAGCCTAATAAAACTAAACATTTTTTCCTATGGAATAAATGTAAAATAAAATATATTTTATACATTCGTTTGTTTCGAATTTTTGGAAAATGGTTTTTTAAAAATAATTATTTTTTTGAGAAAATAAATATTTTTTTTATTTTACGTCAAAACCAAGTAATTACCCGTTTATTCCCCGTGAATGTAACCAAGTAACAGACCCAATGACTAGCTTAGCAAAGAACCGATCATTTGAGATTTCCTATTTCCATGACCCACTGTTTCTTTTTACATTTAAAAGAACATATTTAGGATATAAGATTGTCAAGTATATATATATATATATATATATATATATATATATATATATTAATTATAGAAAGACATTAATTTTATTAAAAATAAAAAATATTTAGAATTACAATCGTAAACATAAACTAAATTATAATTAGGACATTTTTCTATAACCCTTGACACAAAAACTAGGCACAAATATCACACAAGAACCAAAGAAGGAAAATCTTAAAAATCCAAATCAAAATGTTCTAACAAAATGATACATGCATCACAAGGTTCACATCAAAGGAAGAAGTAATAACTCTTCCAAATGATCCACTCGTCCAAGCTTTGGAAAAGAAGATCAGAACAGCAGCGCACTTGAGACGACTTTTTTGAATGGGATCCTGATATTATTTGGTTGGCATGTCTTCTGGAGATACAACCGTCTGTCTCTTATCTTTCTAACGGTTCTTGAATCGCATCAATCCGATATCGGGAACTCAAGATATGGTCATTTTACTGAAGATGGTGCATGCAGGAAATCCTATACGGGATTAATACGTTATTTTGTAAATATTACGAATTTTCAATATTTATATTGATTATTTGTAATATAATTTAATATAGGATGATTAATTATCTTTTAGGATCAGATTTATTATTTTATTAGGAATTAAGGTTGGGTTAAAACAATATTTTTAGTTATTATTATTTTATTAGGAATTAGGGTTAAAACATGTTTAGTTTATTAATATTTTATTCTTTAGTTATTTAGGACCTTTAGAATTCAGCCCCTATATAAAGGAGGCTTCATTCAACTTTGTAAAGCAGATTTCTTTGATCAATAATACAACAAGAGTTCGTTTTTGCAAGTGCTGATTGCCTTGTGCCTTCGAAGCTTCTTCTCCTGGAGTTCTTTCAAGTTCTTGTGAGGGAGATTAATCTTCACACTCCAATTTGCCTTTTCATCGCGACTAGGAGGGTTGGTTAGAGCCATTTATCGTGTTTGCCTTTTCATTGCGACTAGGAGGGCTCGATAGGACACTTATCCATCTATTTTTCCACAAATCCATCCGCACCATCAATCATCTTTACCGTTCACCTTCATAAGAGAGATCTTTTGATTTCTTTATTATCTTATTTCATCTTTCATTTATTTATCTTTTGTTTATTTTATTCTAATCGTGTTGTCTCGATTCCAGTACATAAAAGAAACCCTAAACAATCCTAGCGACTGCTGCCACCTTCCCATATTCATCACATTTGTTCTTCATCGAGTCTAGAGCTTTCTAGGTTTGATTCTTCAATAAGAGCAACGTTCATCAATCCGCCACCGCTTCCTTATCAATTGGTATCAGATTTGGGCCGATTCTTGGAAAGAAACAAGCAATCTTGCTTGTTCTTGCACACAAAATCGTCAAGGTACCCCAACGGAGCTAGTTCACAAAAGATTCAGCGTTTCAGGTTCTTTTTATTTAATTTTAATTTAGATTTAAATCCTTCTTGTTAGTTTGCTATTTTTTTTTCAAAAAAAAAACAAAAAAAAACAAAAAAAAAACAAAAAAGGCAAAAAAAAAAGGCAAAAAAACAAAAAAAGAGCCAAAAAATCCAAAATTTAAAAAAATTGCAAAACGAAGGTATTTAGGGCTGATTTTATCCATATATCATATTCATTCTAAGATTAAACCCCAGTCCAAATTTCACCCAATTGGAGTTCATTGGAGCCTTCAAATACATCATTCAAGTTTCATCGGCAGATTCGGTTTAGAATCTTGTCGAATTTCTTGAAAATTTTACAGGAGGAATTTCGTGGTGAAAATTTCCAGATTGAAAATTCATATATTTAAGATCATTCAAACAAAAAATCAGAATTTTGGAGATCAACAACACCTTCGAACAAAGCGATCAAGAAAACAGATTGTTTGAGGACTCAACGTTCAACAGAGTCTACTGGATACTACTGAAGGTATTTGGTTCTGAAATTTTACAGGTGGTTTCTTGACGCATCAAAAGACATTCAAGAATTTTTCCAGAATTTTTTGACACCGGTAACCCCCTCAAAAACGTTGCTCAAATTGATCCAGCGTTTTCCAGGTTTCTGGGTTGGTTCTTTTTTTTCTTTGACTCTTAGTGCTTTAAGTTCTTTTGTTTTTCCTTGTTATTGTTCTTTTACATTATCTAACACATTATCTTCATTGTGTTAGTAGGACTAAAGAGTTTGCATACTTCTTCCTTCTTTGCATTCTCGTTCGCTTGGAGTCTAACCTTTGTTTGGCCTCTTAGAGCTTTTAGGTTTTTCTTATCGCCTTTGCTAGTAATCAAACTCCAATACGAACTGTGAAAGACTACTTGGTAAAGTGAGTTTTAAAGAGTACAAGATCGGCTTACTTGCCTCTCGTTGTGTTACTTTCTTGGAGTGACTTGTGAGGTTTCTTGCTTTGTTGAATTATTTTATTTTTATTTTACTTTAAAATTTTCTTTGAGTGTTATGATTTCATAATGGGCGACACTAACAACAAGACACTTACGGCTATCTTAGCCACACTTGCCCGACTCACGACTCAAGTTGAAAGATTTGATGAAATCGTGAGAGAACGACACGAACCACAACTGAAACTACCAAACCATAATCCAAGACCAACAATGCTGAACTTTTGGTACCCGAGAAAGAACAACCACGTTTCCAAGCACCCAAACTCTTTACAAAACCAAAGTTCATGATCCCGTCTTTCAAGGAGACAACGATCCAGACAGGTACATCGAATGGGAAGGAAAAGTTGATCTCATATTCGCATACCATGACTGCCCCCAAGCTAAACAAGTTCACCTGATCACCATACAATTTGAAGGATATGCTCGAACTTGGTGGATGCAAACAAGGAAAAGATCCAGAACTTCCAAATTCCAACAATCACTTCTTGGACCGACCTCAAACAAAACCATGAGGAACCGATTCCTACCGACACATTATACACGAGAAGTTAAACAACGACACACCGACTTCGACAAGGTAGAAGTTCAGTTGAAGATTACTACAAGGAGATGCAGTCCTTACTCAATAGGACTAACATAACCGAAAAAGAAGAGGTCACCGTGTCAAGATTCATCGTCGGTTTAAACTCAAACATCATTGATCTTCTTGATCTACAAGGGTACAAAAACCTTGAAGACGCACTAAAGAAAGCAATGACAATCGAAGCACAAATCCAAAGGAGATCTAGATTCAGTGAACATTACCTAGGTACTCATCCTCTTACCAAGGTAATCCTTCAATCTTCCATCTTCTACTCCAGCTTCTCTAAAAAAGCCAAGAGATGACAAACTGACAAGGAGAAAGAACGACCAGCAAAGAATGACACACTTCCAGTCCCTAAAGATCAAATGATAATTTGTGAGGAGGTAGGGAAAGCAAAAAAGAAAAAGTTGAGAAAGAGGCAAAAGCAAAAGAGGTCACTAGTTATAAAAGCCAAAAGAATAATGACCCATGTGGTGAGTGAACCTAAATGTGAGAAGAAAAGAGTGACTCAAAATCTATGTGTGAGCACAAAGAATTGAGAGAGAACCTTATTTACAAAACAACCTTGCATCCTTGTTCGCTTTAGGGAATCAATTGTTTCGATTTCTAACATTAACAAGGATTTGCCTAGTGTTTTCATCTCTTTTACAGGATTTTCGAGAAGTGTTAGGTGATCTACCTAACGAATTACCACTAAAAAGAGGAAAACAATGCCAAATCAATCTAATTCAAGGTTCCATCATACCTCGTCAAACATACAATCTCGAAAGAAACCAAAGAGTTGGATTTGTTACAAAAAGGCTACATCCAGGAAAGCCTTAGTCGTGACGCCATCATAATGACGAAATATGATTTGAACAACTCTTCAGGCTTTATAGTTCATGCACAGAGAATCCATGTAAATGATGAGAAAGTAAAAGCAACACGAGACGGACCACACCATCTTCCATCGCCAAGAGTTGTCGAATAGTGCTAGGTGACCCTCCTGACGGGTTACCACCTGAAAGCCCTAATCACTATGCCATACCAATGAAGAGTCACGATTACGAGAGTCCAAAGGTAAATATTATTACTCATTTTAATGACATTGTAAACGTACTTCTTCTCCTTCTTACAAGGTAAGGCTCGTGAAGTTGTCATCCATACTAAACACAAACTCCTTTAAGTGCGTAACATACCGAGGTAAGCAAAACACAGTAGACGATACACTACCACGAAGGTATACTCTTACCTATCAAACTCATACTTCTATTCCGAGAATTGAACATATCAAAGATGTATATCACGATAACTCGGATATTTCTGATATTTTACCCATACATTTAAAGTGCTTTTAATGAGCTTTATCTTGTATATGAGTTTCCTTGCCAACTAAACAGGTTATACAGTCCACAAATCTCCTCATGGGAATCATTAATTCATGAACCACACTTAGGAGACTTAAGGGATTACGTTAACAAACCAGTTGACATGGTTTTTAAACACTCATTCTCGCCACACACGAATAAAACCATGGAGAATTATCTGAAATAATCATACAGAAAGCCAACAGTGACCGGCGCCATGTTGAAATTCAAACAAAACATCAGATTACAAGACTTGTATGCAAAAGAGGATTTCAAGACTACAAGAAATCAGTTCCTACAAAGAAGAAACCTCGACTAAAATGCATAAAGACACATCACATTGATCCTGGT